GTGAAGCTCTCAGTGCTATCAGTGCGTCTTTAACATCAGGAGGATGTCCCAAAGCACGGGGATTAGTCAAAACAGTGAAACAGTGAAGCAGAGCCCCTCTATCCTGCTTGACACCACAGAAGTCAAGGCAATAGAAAGTCCAAAGTACGCGTTGAGCATACTGCGGGAAATAAACAAACACTGACAAGCTTCTTGCTGCTTGTCCAGACAGGAATCCTCTAACCGTGAAGGAATAAAGCATGTATTGCATGTCTCTGTACCTTCTTTGGATTTATAAGGTGTACCCAGTATTAAAGTTCTGAGGTACGATTCTCTTTGGGTCACTGATGAGTCAGGCCACCAGTGGCCGAGCCTTCAATTGCGCTACGTCCCTAACCTCAGGAACTCTGCCTCTCTGCCTCAGGCCCTCTCTATCTACCTTTAAATCCCAGCTTAAAACCTTCCTCTTGGACCCTGCCTATGGCCAACTCTCCCTTCCCCATCCCTCTTGCTTGGTGTCTGACCCCCGCCACAGTGAAGTGCTTTGAGGTGTTATTGCACATGAAGGGCGCTATAAACTGCAAGTCGCTGTCATGAGATAAAGCTTGAATGAGGTGAGATAGGAAGCTGTTCAGTGGGACTCTGGGCTGGAATTCTAAAGAGTTGGGGCTACCCACTCTCTTGAAAAGTACCTTGCTGCAATAATAGCAATAATAATAATAATAATCCTTGTGTTTGGAATAGCACCTTTGATATGTGGAGGACATCAAAGTGGGTCACAGAATTTAGTGTGAAGTGAATTTTGTAGGTGAACTATGAAGATGGCATCGTAGAATTATCTCCACAGCAGCAGTTGTTTTATGGCTGTCACAAATAGCAGGCTATTCACGCAAACGTAACCTGATGAGCATTGCACCACTGTGACTGCTCGAAGTTATGTTTATTCTGAGCAGATGTGGCTGCCTTGGATGTGCAGGTGCCACGGTCCTAGTCACCGCTCATGCTCGAAGAGCAGCAAGGACCTTCTGCGCTCAGTGTCAGCCTGGCTCAGTAGTAGCACTTATTATTATTCTCTTGCCTTTGAGACAGAAGGTTGTGGGTTCAAGCCCTAAAGTTAGGACTTGGAATCACAAAGTCTAAGTGCAGTGCTGGGTGTGTCGTATTGTCAGAGGTGCCGTCCTTTGGATGAGATGTTAAACTGAGGTCCAACGGTTAAAGATTCCATTGCACTATTCGAAAAGAGAAGGGAGTTTCTCCCAGCGCCTTGGCCAACAATCCCCCCCAAATAAAATTGAAGCGCTTTGAGATGTCTCGAAAACGTAATAAGGTGCATTATCAAATGCAAGGTTTAGTGTTTATTATGCTTTATGTTTACAGTTCTCCAAGGGGTTCCGTCTATTAGCGACACAAATCAATTTGAAAACTGAGCAGTAAATATCTTAAAATGTTCCTTTATAGCTTTAGTGGCACACAAGCCTCGCAGTTTTTCAGTCACTGGGGTGAGTTGATAATAGTATTAATAAAAATAATCCCTCATCCTCCTCCCTCATTTTCACTGCTTAGAATCAGAAGTTTATTTAAAGATATAAACCTATTTTGAGTTGTGGTCAGGAGGTTGCTAAGCAACAGAACATAGTTACCCCGCTATGAGGGCTGCAGTTCTTGTGGCAAAGGATTGGGGAGTTATCTTCTCTACTTCATGTACAGAAACACCACTGGTAACGGTCCCCTTAACATATCCTTCAGTTATCATTTGATCTCAGAACTTGGAATTGAAACCCCTCGCAATGATAATATCAGATATGACTTTCTGTCCTCCACCCCCACCCCCACCTCATCCCATTAGAGTATCTTAATAAAATTAGCAATAAATGACTAAAATGTATAACTGTCACCAAAACTTTTTAGCTTTTGATTCCTATTCTTCCACATTAAGATTGATGAATCATTTCGATGCAAAGAGAAAGCTCTCTGGTTGGGAACATGCTCTCCAGACATGTCTGTTCATTGAGACTGTCGCTCGAAGTGAGGTAGTGCATTCTTGATCAGTCAGGAGTACCATGGTGATTTATAATTATCTCCCCATCACAATGACGCTGCTTTTGCTTCAAGCAATGGACAAACATTGTGTTACATCACTGTCATGTGCAGCTCTGTACAAGTACACACACACACATGCACAGCACAAGAGAGGTTTGGAAAAAGAAGGCCCTCTGGCACATTTTAGCTCATCCTTGCAGAATATCCTTTCCTATCTATTGAAAAAGAGCTCAGAGAAGAGCAATAAGGATGCGTCCACAGTACCCTATATGTATTGCCACAATTCACAAGATTCATACAACAGCAGCAACAAGTATAATTATATAGCACCCCTCACATAGAATACTCCTTTGATGCCTGCATAGAGGGGGGTTAATTTTAAGCTGCTATTCTGATGAGAAATTCTTTAATTTGGCATCTCACTTGAGGCTTGTCAATTCTGCACCTGTGTTCATGAGGGATTTGAGGCTTTGGGAGAGGTAAATGTTGCTAATTTTCCATTACCAAGCCAGTGTTCTAAGGTCAGCTAATCTCACGCAAATTGAGAATATTTCTCTAGCACTGACTAGAGGAGGGTGGAGGCAAGAAGGAGATATTAACAACAATGACAATTTACACTTAGATACCAGTCTGCCTCTCCAAATTCTGCCGATGAGCTAGGCTGGTCTATCATAAGCAGTGCCCTGGCTCAGGAACCAGTTTAATGAGATCAGCACAGAGGGTTGACTTGATTTTGACAATCCATTCACCTTGTAGCCAGTCCAGCTCCAAGGTACCTTTGATTTCCTCCCTCCCCCTTTCCCCAAGAAGAATAGACTCTACAGTATCACTGTTGTTACATGCTATATCTCTACCCGATGCAAATATCTAAAAATAAATTATTCAGTTTGAGCCAGAATGGTATACATATTTGCTTCTGGTAATTAGGTGTTCGTAGCAGTTATTTAAAATTAATAGAAAAAGTTTTTGTAATTCATTGGGTCTTTCAGTAAAACTAAAACATATCATATTGCAGTAACGTCATGGCTTTTAACCACTGGTTAGCATTTCGTGAAAGCACAGTAGGTAGGGTAAAGAAATAGGTCTTCTGGTTAGATTTACAAGTTGGGCAAGTTGGAGGGAGAGAGAGACTTCATTTTTTGGTGTGATCCAATTAGGACCATTCCATTAGGGCTTTGGCTTGCAACAACATAACAAATTATATTTGCATAGCGCCTTTCACATCAGGAGGATGTCCCAAAGCCCTGAACAGTCAGGGATCTGCACCTGAGCTGGCGATTGGGGTCAGGAGGGGTAGAAGGTGGATGGGAGGGTTAGGAGGGTGACTGAAGGCACAGTTGAAGAGGAGGGTCTTGAGATGGGTCTTGAAGCACGCAAGGGAAGGGGGTGAGGTGGAGGGACTGTGGGATGGAGTTCCAGAGGGTGGGGACAAAGAGGCTGAAGTCCCACCAAGGAACAGTGGGGTGGGTAAGGCAGGGGATGTAAAGCACTCTGGTGTCTTCAGCGGAGGGAGCGAGCGGATAGGTTGGTAGGGGGTTAGGAGGTCACGGAAGTAGGGAAGAGCAAGGCCTTGGATGGCTTTGAAGCTGAGGACTAGGATCTTGAACTGTCCTCTGAGTAATGGGAAGCCAGTGGAGCCGGGTGAGGATGGGGCTGATAGGGTTGTGGAGCCTCGTGTGGGAGAGGACATAGGCTGCAGAGTTCTAGATTATCTGCAGCCTGTGGAGGGAGGAGTCGGGGAAGGCCAACAAGCAGGGAATTTGCATAGTCGAGCCTGGATATAATGAATGCAAGGTTAATGGGAGCTGAGTAGGAAGAAACCAAATCCAGCCGACGAGCCAGGCTGGTTTGTCTGTCATCAGCAGGCTGGTCTGTCATATGCTGATGGTCACTGACAAGGATCACAAATGATGAATGGATGCTGGAGCAAGATAGCAGAATGGTCATGGATCTGTACAACAGCATCAACTATCCCTTCAAGTCATGGTGTGGGTGGAGGGGAGGGAGGAATTCTGTCAGATGTCTCTGTTAGGAAGTCCATAACCAGGGGACACAAGTATATATTGAGAATTTAGGAGGAACCTCTTCACGTAGATGGTAGTGAAAATGTGGAACTCACTGTCTGAAGCTGTGGGTCAAGCAGATAGTATAGATGCATTCAAGAGGATGGATAGATGCATTTCACAGGAGAGGGAAGGGTATGGGAGGGTGGGGGAGTAAGGAGTGAGTGGAGTATCATGTGAAGAATAAACACTGGCGTGGACTAATTGGGCTGAATGACCTGTTTCCATGCTTTCTAAGTAAGTCTATGTGATATAAAGAAATTGCTCAATAAAATATTGAAAGAAACACATTCATATTGTAACTCATGGACTTATTTCATTCTTTCAACATTTCCTTCCATTTTAATAATAATAATAATTCTTGCATTTGATATAGCGCCTTATCACATCTTCGAGACGTCTCAAAGTGCTTCACAGAATATACTGTTAAGTGAATTGACTGTATATTTTGTGGGTGAAATGTGACAGCCAATTGTGCACAGCAGTGTCTCATAGTCACGGATTGAGTGACCAAATTATTATTATTTTTTGAAGGGTTTATTACCCCCGGAAAGTGATCCGCCAATCAATTAACAACTGGATTCCTACTTACCGCTAGGTAAGCAGAGGAGTGTGGAATAAGGAAACTCACGTAATGTTTCGCCCTGGCCAGGAATCGAACCCAGGTCCTTTCGCTTGCGAGGCGAGGGCTCTCACCAATACAATACAGCATTCCACCGTGGTTGGCATCCTGCATTTGGCAAGAGTCCTTAGCCTTCCACTTATGGCCCCCTCCCAGACGGATTTTACAACCTATTTGAGAATATTCTGAACCTCAGTGTTTTTGGGAGACATGGCTGGGCCTGCTTCTGTGAGAAAGCTGAATGTATGTTGGGTGACAGCTGAGTTAATGATCACATCTTGTCTGTTCTCTTGCAGAGACTCGCATCAGCTGCAGAGGAGTTTCAGCAAGCTCATGCTTGGAAAGAAGAATTTGGGGTAAGGCTCTCAGCTCTTTCTGCTCCGCTATGCACTGGTGACCCTTTAGGTGTGATGCAGCCACTCGCTTCAAAGCTTTTGCTGACTGGATCTGCGTTTGATATGTATAACGCAGGGTGATTGAAAATCAATCCCTTTGCCTTCGTGCTGTTTTCAAACATATCCTCAGCCGATGTGCATTGACCAACAGTCTGACATTTATCAATACAGCGGCGACCTACTTTTCTGTGTAAAATAAGCCTTTGTTGTTACAACTTGATCGATTCAAGTGTAGTTAAGTATTGAACTGTCAGGAGCTCTTCAAAGACAATTTGCTTGTCAGTTTTGTATATCTTAATCCAATCGACTGACATTTTTATTGAACATAGGCTGATATTTTGTTTTGGAGTGGAAGGTTTTCCATGTCCACTTTTCTCCCCTTGATCCACTCCACCATCGGTGGTTAAGCCTTTAGCCACTCTGCCCCTGCTCTCTTGATCTACATCCTGGAGTCCTTCTGCCTTCCGTCTCAAACTGCAAAACACATCTTAAAACCTTTCTCTTCAACCCTGCTTTGGGACACCTTTCCCATTCCATCCTCTGCTCCCTCCCAGTTCGTTCTGTTGTGTGAAGAGCTTTGAGATGCATTCCTGGCAGGAACGTTGCTTATATAAATGTAGATTGTTATATATTAGATTGTTGACACCGGCTTGCTTCAAGTTCCCCGCACATCCCGCCTAACCATTAGCGGTCGGGTATTCAGCATCTCTGCCCCCACACTCTGCAAGTCTAACCTGCAATCCCTCCGCCTCACCCCCTTTCTTGCCTCCTTCAAGTCCCGTCTAAAGACGTTCCTCTTCAACCATGCCTTCAACCACCCCCAACCCCCTGCCCTCCACCCCTCCTGACCTCAACTCCCAGCTCGGGTCCAAAAAACTCTGACTGTCCAGCTCCCTGGGACGTCTTTCCAACGTGAAGAGCACTATACAAGTGTAATTTTTTGTTGTTGATAAAGAGTACTGAAACAACAATGGAAAAATCTTTGGGCCCAATTATTGTGCTGATGTGGCTTTGGGTTTGTGTGTGTGTGCATGTGTCTGTGTGTGTGTGCGTGTGTGGGGGGGTGTTTACAACCTTGTGAATAGATGGGAAAAAAAGTAATGTTTCATCACTGATTCAGTGGAATAATTATCACCCCAGCATTTCTGAGCGGACTACAATCCTGTAAGTTTAATTCTCTTTTATGTCGAGTGAATGAAAATGCTGAGAATCAATAGATTCAAAGTTCCTCTTGGAACCAGTATCTGGGATCTGGGGCCTCGAGGGAATACTATTACTTTTGCAAAGAGCAAAGAAAATGTTTGCCCCCACCGAATATCTTTGGGAAAGTCATGCCTTTCCTTCACATGTTTATATTATTATTTCACAATGTGGAATAATTGAGGTTTATTGAACTGTCGAACCCAGTTGCGATGTGCGATTGCTCTTGATGACCTGAAGTTCAACACGGAGTCAGTGCGGCATTTACTTAGCAAGCTTTATTTCACATATATATATATATGGGGTGCAGGTCAGTAGCAACGACTTTCTTCTAGTGCTGCTCCCTACTCCGCACACCAAATGCGAGCAAGCACCTCACCTTTATACAAAATCTTATTGAGCTATGCGTCAATCAATAATCACGAGGGGACCCTCTAAACTGGTTACATTTCGACATAGTCTGCCTCGTGACAGGGTGTCTGTTTTTAGGAGACAATCACTCTGTCCTTCATATAGAGAAAAACGACATTTAGAGAATGCGAAAATGCCGATGCTGTTAAACGTTATCTGAACCCAGAACCGATTCCAGACATGATTCCAGGATGCGGTACTGATACCAGACATTTGCTTATCTATCTTAAACAATGCCAATCACGAGCATTCGTGACTAACTTCATGACAACATATTTTTCACTTAAGGCCAGAGCCCCCTGGCCGGCCTCTTGCCCTTTAGTCTTTAATCCTCATGACTTGCTTAATTTGCCAACTTTGCAGAATGTGCTGAATTCACCTTCCACAGAACCCTTTTTAGTATCAACAAGACCCTTTAAATGGGCACTTAACTGCCTGAAATATTAAAACGATCTGGAGACAGTAATCGCCTTTCTGTATGACATCTGAAGAGCTGTAGTGCTAAGACATCTGGATCTTCGAAAGTTCTGAATCTTTTCTAGTTTTGTTCTTTGTATTATTAGAAAGGAAAGCTGAGGAATCTCAGGATTTTTTATTTACCACAATCTTTGACAACATTTGCTTCCCTGCCCACTCGCTCTCCCCCACCCCCCTACTCCCTTCCTGTTGCCTGAAATTAATTAAAATTGCCGTGGTTGAGGTTTAAAACACCATAGGTTAGAACGCAGTGTAACCTAGTCATTATTATGAATTTGATTCCTTTCTGCCAAGTGTATCCTTTCATGTCTTGGGCCTCCATTTGGAAACTGGCTCATGTGAGTGGCTATACTTACAAGTCTTTAGGAACATGTTGCTTTAGCATGAGATAGCCTCCACTAATAGTTGCTCAGGAAGCTGGAATGAAGATTGCTCCAAGAACACAAGTGTCCATAGAAATCATTTGTCTAATTTGTTACTTGGCTGCAGTTATTTTAAAAAAGAAAATCGTAGAGAAAAGTCGAAGTATTAGAGGTGAAAAAGAAATCCTATTTTTCAGGATCAAATGATGCATGTATAGGTCTTGGTGCACTCTCAATTGATCTTGCCTAATAGCTTTAGCTATAACTTTAGCTATTACACTTGCTCCCTTAAAGAGGTGGTTTTCATTCAGTTTCATCCTGTCGGTGGCAAATGCATGATTCATCAAAGTGAGGTGTCACTGTAATTATTCCATGTAATTTTTGTCTCCAGAATTGAATCACCTAGGGTTGCAGTGACTAAAACAGGCAGCAAAGCAGGCAATGTCAAAATTGTAGGAGACTGTGGTTCAGACAAAATTGGATTTCTGCAACCAATTTTGGGCTTCCCACTGTAGAAAAGACGTCACAACCAATGGAGAGTTCACAGCAGAGATTCACGAGGTTGACACCAGAGATATAGAAGGGTTACAGTTATCTGGGAATATTTTAAATTAGGGATGCTTTCATGCAGGAATGGGTAGGGGCTGTTGTAATATAGCTTTTCATAATTATGAATTGTTTTTGAAAGGGGCATTGGCAATAAGCCATAAATTTAGGATTATAACACGAAACAAGGGGAAGCTTAGCAGATTTCTTGTCACACAGAAAATTGCTAGAACATGTAATGCTTTGCCACAATGATCTACATTTGAAGAATTAGGGAAGGGGGCAAGGGGAGATTACCAAAGGTGAACAGGACCAGAATTTCCAACATATTCTGATTATCACATCAAATGTTGCATATTTCATTCATGATCCAATATAATATAAATTTACATTTATATAGTGTCTTTCACATCAGGAGGACACCCCAAGGCATTGGACACTCCAATATTTGTAGCCAAGCTGGGGGCTGAGCAGTTGGGTGGAAGTGAGGGGGGGAGTGAGGGGTGGAAAGATGGATGAAAGCATGGTTGAAGAGGAAGGTCTTGAGGTGGACCTTGCAGGAGGGAAGGGGTGAGTCAAAGGGACTCCAGGATGGAGTTCCAGCTGTGGGGGCAGGTAAAGTGGGTTTGTGAAGCAGGTCGGTGCCCGCTGAGCAGGGGTAACAGACGGGTGGCTGGGCTTTTAGGAGGTCGCAGAGGTAGAGTGGGGCAAGACCATGGAGGGATTTAAAGGTTAGGACAAGGAAATTGAACTCGATCTGCTGGAGGAAGTTTTTATGGGATATAATACATAGATAGGTTGGGACATATGTGTATGTGACCGCCGGGAAGGTAAACTAGATGGACCTTGGTCTTTTATCCTCTAGCATTTCTTATGTTCTTATGAACACAGCAAGTGACGGGGGATGGGAGGAGAAGCCATTCGAAGACGTAAAATGTACACGTTGGGATAGGTAAGAGTGAAATCAGGAGAGGACAAAACTATGAAGGTATACCTGAGACAAGAGGTGACAGAGAGGGTTTGTGTGATCGACAGTGTCGAAGGTGGCAGAGAGATAAAGAAGATTGAGGAGGAAGAATGAGAGGGCCTTGGTCACAGATGGTGAGAATGTCGTTGGAACTTTCATCAGGACAGTCTCGGGCAGGGCGAAAACTAGATTAAAGGGGTTTGTGTAGGTAGTGCTGGGAAAGGGAAGAGCAAAGCTGGGAAGCAATGACTCATTCCATCATCTTTGACAGGAAAGGCAGGTTGGATGGAATGGTACTTAGGGAATGAAACCGGCTTGGAAAAAAACAATCTGCAATTGTTTTTCAGTCCCAATGATTTTCTGCCTCAGATCTCATCCTGGCTCAGTGATAGCACACACATCTCTGAGTCAGAAGATTGTAGGTTCAAGCCCCACATCGGTACTTGGAATCACATAGTGTAAGATGACACCCCAGTACATCAGATGAGACATAGAACCAAGGTCCCACTACCTCTTCAGGTGGACTCTAAAAATCCCACGACATTATTTGAAAAGAGAAGGGAGTTTCCCCTGGTGTCCTGGCCAACTATCCCCCAAAATAAAATTGGTTGCTCACTCCATGGCTGTGTGAGGGACATTGCTGTGTGCAATGGGCTGCTGTGTTTCTCCCACAAAATAGTCAAACTACTTTAGAGTATATCCTGTGAAGAGCTTTGAGACATCCATCTCGACAACGTAATAAGGTGCTACATTAAATGCAAGGATGATTATTATTCTCTTTCCTGGTGTGTTACCACTATAATAATATTAATAATAATCTTTGCATTGCTAGGTTCATTTGCTCCATCGTCTGCTGCAAGATACTGTGATTGGCCACTATTGGAGTGGGAGCTTACACAACCTCCCCCAGTACTACAACACTTCCATTACCTCCAATGGGATGTAATTTGCATGGTTAGTGCAACCTACACATTTGACCTGAATAGCATTGCCAGGGA